GGGGGATGTGCCCGCAACCCAGGTACATGCCCTTGACCGGAATCAAACCTGGGACCTTTCAGTCCGCAGCCCGACGCTCTATCCACTGAGCCAAACCGGTTTCGGCCCCTTATCATTTATTGAACAAGCTTTCTTTCCTTCATTAAGTTGCTTTGCACCTTTGTCAAAATCAGTTGGACATATTTTTGAGGATCTATTTCTGGGTTCTCTCTTCTGTTCCATTGATCTATGTGTGTCTCTATCAATACCACATGATCTTAAATATTGTACTATATAATTTTGAAATTGGGTAGGCTGATTCTTCCTACTTTATAATTTTTGATATTCTATTGTCTTGACCAGGGGTCCTCAAACTACGGCCCGCGGGCCACATGCAAACACAAATATTGTATTTGTTCCCATTTTGTTTTTTTACTTCTAAATAAGATATGTGCAGTGTGCATAGGAATTTGTTCATAGATTTTTTTTTTTTTAAACTATAGTCCGGCCCTCCAGTGGTCTGAGGGACAGTGAACTGGCCCCTGTTTAAAAAGTTTGAGGACCCCTGGTCTTGACCTTTCCACATAAATTTTAAATTATTCTTGTCTACAACTATAAACTCTTGCTGGGATTTCGATAGTAATTACATTAAACCTGTGTATCAGTTTGGGAAGAACTAATATCTTTACTGTGTTGAGTCTTCCAACCCATGAACACTGTCTTTTTATTTTATATCTCCTCTAATTTCTTTCATCAGAGTTTTGTAGCTTTCAGCATACAAATCTTATATATATTTTATTTGATTTATACCTAATTAATTTGTATTTTTTGAGGGACTGTAAATGATGTATTTTTAATTTCAATATTCGTGTGTTCACTGCTAGTATCTAGAAATCTGTTAATTTTTGTATATCCAGTGACATTATTAAACTCACATGCTAGTTTTAGGACTTTCTTTTAGGTAGATCCTTGATATTTTCTAAGTAGGCAATCATTTCATCTGCAAATAGTTTTATTTCTTCCTGTGTGATCTGTATTCCTCTTATTTCCTTTTCTTGCATTATGTCACTGGATAGAACTTCCAGCACTGTGTGGAATAAGAGTGGTATGATGAGTGATTTTCAGTTGAAACCTGAACATTTTCATATTCTGTTAAGCAACACTGGATCTTATTTAAACCTTCTGTGTTAGATGGCCTTCTCCGAAACCACTCAAGTGGGGGAGCAGGGAGGTGCCATCTCATTACTATCCAGTGAAGGTACAAGTCCAGGTTCTCCACTTGGCCTCCTTTGCCACCTAAGTGGGGAATCTGCGTTACTGCTGGGCAGGGGTGGGCTTCTGGCTCCCCACATGGTCTCTGCTGACACCGCTGTGGGAGGGCCCTTGTTACGGCTTGGTGTGTGTGTGTGTGTGTGTGGGGGGGGAAGTCCTGCCTCTAACACTACTGCAGACGAGGGGGTAAGGAGGGCACCGCAGGGTGAGGGTGGAACTCCAGGCTCTGTGAGGTCTCCATATAATGCTTGGTGGGGATGAAATCTGTCTTCTCTGATGTGGCCTCCATGGGGTTGTTGAGAACCTCATTTTGGTCTGACTAGGTCGAGACCTTTGCTGGTGTGAGCGGCCGTGGGCTACAGTGTATTCTGCGCTGTTTGGAGCAGAGTGGTGTTTTCCAAAGTTTTCTGTCTCATTAGGCTGCCTCTTTGCTGGTGCTTGGGTAGAGAGAGCAGGCTTTACTTGGGGCTCCCCCACCAACTTTTTTTCCAGTTCCCATTGTATTTCCTGGTGGCTGGCTTCTTCAGCTCCAAGGATGGAATTTAGGAGGGAAAAGAAATTCAAGGAAGTCACGTGTTTTCCCTCAGTTCCCAAGGTCCCTGGCCAGTCTTCTTTCTCCTTTCCACTTTTAAGTCTTCTTATGTTTGTTTTATATATGATGTTGATGGATTTTAATTGCATTTAGCAGGAGGAATAGAGAAAAGTATATCTACATCACTTCCTGGAAGTGGAAATTCTGTACACATTACATTTTAATAGGCCTTTATCATCTGTGGATAAAAATCTGTACTTCATGGACATGACCACAAAATTACAATGAAAAACTCATTTATTGCACAGTGTGGAGAAATAAGGGTCCACATGAGATCATTTCACATACCTAAAGCTTAATTTTTTGTATGTCAAATGGATTTAATTTTGTTTCAACCCTTTTACAGGCAGGGCATTCTACAATGGTATTTGTTCTGTTTCTTCCTTCATTAACTGTGAAGAAAACTGTGACTCAGCAATGCCATTTGGAGTCTTATAACTGCTTTTCATACTTTTCCTTTTCTTCATCATCTTTTTATCCTTTATTCCTCCTCATAACTGTCACACAGCTGTCCCTCTTTTTTCTCCATCCTCTTTACTTTAAATGGTAAAGGCATTTATTATCTCCAAAAATGTCCTTTGAGAGACAGAGCAGGTTCCAGGAGCACAGTGGCGTGGCTTGGCCTTTGGGATCCAGGCTTCTCCTATGATTTGTCAGTGGTTCTACTCATGGCCCCCAGAAGACTTCCACTGTAATCCAGGCTGTAGCCGCTGATAGTGTAGACTAAGGTAGAGAGAGTTTAGGCCACCATAGCAATTTCCAAGTTGTAGCTGGTTTGTTTACTTGTTCTTGGTTTCCCCACGATGACTGCCTTAAGGGATGTGGAATGACTGGCACCTAATACAGAGTCAGAAGTACTTCAGTTGTTATAGATGTTTGTCAAAGGTTTCTAAGTTTCCTTTCCTCGGGACACAGAACTTTTTGGTTGAGTAGAATTATCTGACTAAAAGCTTTGGCCAGTGATTTGCTGAGTGAATAAATGGTTGCAAGTCTTCTATATGAAGTGTAGGATGAGGGTTATTTACTGTTTGGGGTTCTGGGAAAGGAATTAGCCATATGAGGAAGGACAGAGGTGAGACATGGAAACGTGATGGGCAGTGTCTGTGAACATAAAGATGGATGGGTGAGTCTGTGTAGATGGAGCACTGAGTGGACATTTCTTGGCCCTTTGAGGTGATTATTTTCTTCTGGATCCTTGACCTGGTTCCTGGGAACTTAGCCATAGACCTTGGCTGGAACCTTCTAATCTAGTGGTTCTCAACCTTCCCAATGCCACGACTCTTTTATACAGTTTCTCATGTTGTGGTGACCCCCAACCATAAAATTATTTTCATTGCTACTTCATAACTGTCATTTGCTACTGTTATGAATCATAATGTAAATATCTGA